ACGCGGACCTCTCACTGTTGTGGCCTCTTCCGCTGCGGAGCACAGGGTCCGGACGCGCAGGCTCAGCGGCCATGGGTCACGGGCCCAGCTGCTCCGCGGCATGTGTGATCTTCCCAGACTGGGGCACGAACCCGTGTCCCCTGCGTCGGCAGGCGGACTCTCAACCACTGTGCCACCAGGGAAGCCCGAGACTATGCATTCTTAAGCCTCTTTTATTTCATGAAATATGAGAAGGCCCTGTAAAAAGATTAGATTTTGGAGCGGATACAACAATCTTCTAAATATGAAAAAAAAAATGCCAGCATACATATGACTTTGTGGACTTGGAAGAGAAACTAAAGGAAAACAAATGACACTGTAAAAGGATCTGTCCCTTGAAATCCCAGCTGACGTTAAATTCATGGCCACACAGAGGGGTTTAGATGTGCTCATCTGAGTTAGTGAGGCTTAATGGATTAAAAGTGGCTAAAAGCTCAGGAAATCTGCTTTTAGCTACAATTATGAAATCGTTATATATAGAGAGAATTATTTAAGTGTTATTCTTCAAGTGAATAAACTTGCAAGCTCTAAAACCATCACCTTCTCATGAAACAAACCTATGATCATGTGCCTTTTTATTTTAAAATTAGTTTTACCCAATACAACTAAAATCTGGGCAATGTCTTCCTGACCAAAAAACCACCTAAGAATATCTATTAGGAATATGCTAGGCTACAAATAATAGAAAATGTGACTTATATCCAAGAGGGGTTATTTTTTCCACGATATAGAGTAGCCAGCGGTGTGGAGTCCAGCCTCTCGTGATTCTCCGGCCTTTCCTTCACATTGGAGGAGAAGGACTGCGGCGTCACATGTCACACCTATTGTATCTTTCCAGGCAGGAACGAGAGGGGAGAAGGCTGGAGCTGTCTGTGTCTGCCTCTTTGCATCGAGATAAGCAAGTGCTTCTCACTCAGGTACCTAGCAGATTTCGGTGAACTTTCTGGCCAGAACTAGGTCACATGGCCACCTTTAACTAGAAGGGACTTGTGGAATAGATGAGGTTTAAATTTCAAGCTACATTGCTAGGACTTTTGGCTTTCTATTCTTTTACAATCACTCTTCCTCCACAGCTCAGAAGGCGTTCTCTCTCTACCTTGCCAAACTCAAAATCTTATCATTCCTACAATGGTCGGCTGAATAATTAACTCCGTAATGAAGTCTGCTCAGATTATTTCCACCAATGAATTCCTTGTGTTCTAAGCATTTGTATACACATTTTATACCACCACAGCACATACTTGTGATTCTATTGTTCTATCACAGGCTTAGTTTTTTCTTAGTTGCTTTCCTGTGCTTTTCGAGAGCAAGCGATTCTTGCAAGCCCCTCTGTGCCTAGGACGGGGCTGTACCTAGTAATGCTTTCTAAGCTGAACCGAGGGAAATACAGGCTGTGCAACTATTTTTCTCCGCTACACAGGGTAACACGCGCAGTGCTCTTCAGGCAGCAAAAATCCTCAATGTTTTTGGTGCTTTGTGTATGCAGTGAACTCTTTCTGACACTCTGGAAGCTTACTGTTAATACAAATCACAAGGACCACAAATACAAATCGTAATGGTAGACCTGTAAATTTCAGTTATCCCTAGTGAAAGATTAGATTTGAGTGGTTTGTACAGCATCCAAGAGATTTTCCCAAGGAACCTTATGATTAGAATGAGGCTACAACATTCCATCTCTTAGAAGAGTTGCCAGGAAAGGAACAGGCTGGATGCATGAATTACCACTGACAAGTATGAACCCGAGAGTCAGTGGCCTGGAACTTCACTGGTGGATGCTAAAAATGCAGGCACTAGACAAACCCATAGCAGGCAGTGACATGTGGGTTAGTTTATGAGGGGAAAGAAATCAACAAACTACTTATTATGTACATTTCCTCTCCTTCCCGCTCCTCAGCCTTCTGCTTCGAGTTATTTTTGTACTCATCTCACACTTTCTGTATTTTTTCAGACGTGCATTAACAAATTAGAGAGACAATTTTTACTAGCATTTGCAATTTTCTCCTGATGGATATATCCCTGGAATGTATGAGTGAAACACATTAGTTTGAAAACAATTGCAAGTGGCGGAATGATGATTCAGGAATTATGGGGTCAGAAATGAAGAAAACAAGAAAGGAACAGGGAGAGAGCATTGAAAAACCTATAGGGAAAAAGCCATGATGACACACATGGAAAGTAAGAAATGCAAATTGTAACTGTCTACTTGAAAAGTCAAAAATACAGCCTGTCTCTTTTGTCATGGCATAATTCATCAGTGTAGCACATTTCTGAGCACACATTCTGTGCTTCAAATTGTGGCTATGTCTACAAACAAAATAAATTTGAGGGGGAAAACTACCAAAAATAACACTGGGTTATCATTTTTAAATGACCTGATGTTAAATAGCCCACGTGACTAAATTTTTCATTTTCAACTAGTTGGGATATAGTCAAGTCAACTGTCTACAAGGATAAAAAAATATGATGCATATCTTATTAACCAATATTATGATTTGTATATTTCCCCTTTTTTCTTTTTTTTTTTTGCGGTACGCTGGCCTCTCACTGTTGCAGGCTCTCCCGTTGCGGAGCACAGGCTCCGGACGCGCAGGCCCAGTGGCCATGGCTCACGGACACAGCCACTCTGTGGCATGTGTGATCTTCCCGGACCGGGTCACGAACCCGTGTCCCCTGCATCGGCAGGCGGACTCTCAACCACTGCGCCACCAGGGAAGCCCTATTTCCCCATTCTTGATCCTTATTCAGAAGGGGTGAAGGATCCTTTTGGGAAAAAAAGCGTTCACCCACACTTGCTACCTTGCTATGCTCATCTTCCAAGATTGTGGTGTTCATGGCCCCATGGTTCCAAGAGGAGAGTCATAAAGAGCCAGAGCAGAGCACATTACCGTGTTTCTGCTTTGAAGCTTTTAGATGTTACTAGGTTTTGGTACATTTTAGAAGGAAGGATTCTTAAGTACACATTTTGTTTTAGAGAAGTCCTTCATAGTTCTTCAAGCTGGGAGAAGCACCACAGTTAATTTGATCTGCTGGTTCTATGACTTTGTGCGTGTACTAAAAACTACTGAATTTTACACTTTAAAATGGTGAATGTTATGGCATGTGAATTATATCTCCATAAAAAATAATAAAAGATATACTTTTGGCATCAAATGTCTTTTAACCTGCAAGTCACATTACCGCATAGATGACTGCACAAGAAGAATAGGCCCACGTAGGTTCTAGAAGCAGGCTGGGACATTTAGAAAGAAAGTTTCGGGTTCAAGGTATCCAAAGCATGGACTAGAAAAAGTATATTGGCTCCAGGTGGGCATGTCCCCTTGGCTTCACAGCCTGCTTTCCTCTTAAACGAAAGCATGTCCCTTGTCTGCCTGGGTCTAAGGGTGGAAGTGCTTGGAGATCCCATCCCTCCCAATCTTCTGGACTTACCCAGCCACATAGATACATGTATCTTACTTCTGTTAGGAAGCTGAGCTTAGTCGTCAACCACTTCTTACCTACACCCTTTTCTCCATAACTCAGGACACACAAGCATGCAAATAAGTAAGAAGATCCTGGTTCATTCTTTTGTTAGAGTAAGCGAAGAAGTCCATGTGACTTGAAGTAAACTAGGCCAAGGTCTAGGTCTTAAAAAGACCTCCTTAAACAAGCACACTCCTTCTGCATGTAATGACTAAGTTCTTGTTCTCTTTCATCGGGACACTCAACAGGACTTAGGAGTTTAATGGAGTTCTCTCACTTTATTGAGCAGCTAAAGTGGTTTTGAACTCTATGGGGTAACTTAGAAATTGTTGTGAAATGTAATTGATTTTTATAAACATGCACATATTTTTCACTAATAAGCATTTGCATTGCAATTTTTTTGTGCAGGTGTGACCTTAACTTTCCAGAATGCTAGCAAAAAAACTGATCGCATGCTTTCAAAAAAGCACAATTTTTACTTTTTAAAAATGAACTTCTGGAAAGGAGGACAATAGAAAGTGCTGGAAAGATCATTTCTAGGAAGAATGAACTCAATTCATTTTTATGATTGTGTTTTTTTCCTCCTGACCTTGTTTAGCAAAAGCCTAAGAACTTCTGTTAGACTCCCAACACTTTCTCTAATTAGTCCTGGATATATGTTTTTAGAGAGAGAGAGAGAGGTTGAGAGAGAGAAAGAGTATTTAGAATGATTGTTTGTACGGCATGTAATTAAGCAAGGCTGATTCTAGCCTATAATCACTAGAGACTCCCTTCAGGGAAAATACTCTTCTTATTTAACCATGATTTGCTCTACAGTGTGATGCTTACAAGGGAAACACCCTTCCTGGATAGATTAGCTTTCTCAGACAGGCGAGAAATACTCATCAAGGGAGGATCCTCTTCCAGTGAGTCCTCCCCTTTTATTTATTAGTATGTGTCCCTTGGTTCCTCCCACCCCTATAAGTTCTCATCAGGACCAACTCCCTAATTTCCAAGGTCCAGGACAAAAACCCCACAGGGTTTCTTGTTCAAAAAGCCTGAAAAAAAGCTTTCCTTCCTTTTCCTGTCTCTTTCTTGACATGTCATAGTGTTTTCTCTTTGCTGTGTAACATTGTGCCCCCTGGAGCATGGGGATACTTACAAAGGTGAGTGCAGACCCTCCCAGGTGTCCTGAGCCCTGCCCTGCAGCATGGTGCGTGGGGCATGCACAGCCGACTTCGGACCTCCCTGCACCTTCATCCAGGCACCTGTCTGCCTCATTAGTTGTGGTCCCTGAATGGGGTTGGAGGAGGAGGAGGCCGATAACCTGTGAGGGTGAGCAGGCAATAGGGGGAGATGAGCAAGTTCGTCCCCACCCGCTATGCTCCATTGTCCCTCTGGACTTCACTTTGGAAAACATTAATTCAAAGATCAAATTTTTAAGAATTTCAAGAGGTGGGCTTCCCTGTTGGCACAGTGGTTGGGGGTCCGCCTGCCAATGCAGGGGACGTGAGTTCGAGCCCTGGTCGGGGAAGATCCCACATGCCACGGAGCAACTAAGCCCGTGCGCCACAACTACTGAGTCTGTGCTCTAGGGCCCACGAGCCACAACTCCTGAGACCACGTGCCACAACTACTGAAGCCCATGTGCCTAGAGCCTGTGCTCTGCAACAAGAGAAGCCACCCAATGAGAAGCCTGCGCACTGCAACGGAGAGTAGCCCCCGCTTGCCGCAACTAGAGAAAAGCCCGTGCGTAGCAACAAAGACCCAAGGCAGCCAATAAAATAAATTAATTAATTTATTTTAAAAAAAAAAAAGACTTTCAAGAGGTGACCACAGAGCATTCAGTTCCAAGCGTGTGGCCCCTTCTGAGCCTGGGGCTGCACTGGTAGTCCTCACTCTTTACCTCCTTGATATTTTCTCTGGTGCCCAGCTTGGTGGTGGGCCTGGGATAGACAGTTAATACACACTTGCTGAAAGCAGTTCTTTAACTGCCAGTGGCTCTGATCAGTTGTGGGTAGAGCAGCATTTTCCATGAGACTGTCTTCTGCAGGCACTCCTTTCACTTATCTGCCAGTGCCCACCATAGGGGACATCAGGGGTCTGGCAAAGACATTCAGCTGTAATTTACGCCATTGCTCTGACTTCAGAAAGTATATCACCTACATCACCCCTGAAAGATGGGCTACCCTCCTATTATAAAAAAAAATTCCATGAAGGCTCTGCAACTTCTGTGCCAGGTTAGCATCCTTTGGTTTCCTTCCTTTCTGTCCTTAGTCATCATCAAGGCCACACAGAGTCAGCAGTATTCCCAGCCACCTGCATTGCCTAGTGGATGGCAGACTGCAGCTTACCCGCTGGGCACAGCCGGGGGACGGGAGAAGGGCAGGGGATGGTTTCCAACCTAATTCTGAATTTATCTTTGCTCGCACTCCTCAATCAGACTTAAACGCCTTCCCTTTTGAGACACAAGTGTATT